TGAGGAGCTGCTAGTATCATCATGGGTGTTAAAATCACCAAGAACAATAGGGTGCAGGTTTTGTTGTTTGGCTTGTAATATCCAGTTGATCACGGTATTTTGGGTAAGGTTTCGTTTTGCTGAGCCGGTGGAGGATAGGTAGACTGATATAATACGTAATTTGATGTTGCTCTTGAAAAATAGATCTAGTGCAAGAGCACCTCCTGAATGGGTATGGCAGCTATGTACATGAGGTTTTAGATAGTTTTGAATCATAATAGCGGTTCCTTCGATAGAGCTTTCTAAGTTGGACCAATAGTAGGTGTAAGAGTTATTATTACAAAAAGAAAGTTTAGTTTTGCGAGAAATTTTGGTTTCAGTTATCGAGGCAATAGAGATATTATGATTAGTGCAGTAATCTTGCCATATCTGTCTCTTAGAAGCAATATTAAAGCCTCTAACATTATGAGTTGCTATAGTAAGATTGAAGTGATTAGAAGAGGGATAGAGAGATCGAATAGGATATTTATGGTAGATAGAGTATTGTTAGGGAGAAAGTAGAACATGTCCTGGAAGGATAGTATCAGAAGTTAGAATAATATAATATAAAATATATAGGAAAGAAAAGTTATATAAACACAGACAAAATTCTCAAGAAACAAAAACAAACAATTCCATACCTCATAACTTTATAATATACAAATGAAAAATATTAAAAAAGCAACTATAGCCTGTACAAATTGCCAATTAAAGAAAGTACGCTGTTTAAAATATCAAGAAACCACCTGTCTACGTTGTTCAAGGAAACACATTGATTGTGTATACCTACCGCAATCCAGAAGAGGACCAATAAAGAAAAATAAAGAAACAAGCAATCGTGGACACATATAAGAAAGAAATCATTAAGATTGTAACCACTGATCAAACAATATCAGTATTCAATATAACGATAACTTGGATGAGCAATATTTATATTACATTAGCAACATCTGAACAACCATTTCAACAACTTAATCAAACAATTCAACTTACAATTATATCAATAGCAATAGTAGTAACTGTATCAATAGTCGCAAATACTGTTATACGACTAAAAGAAATAACAACATTAACAAAGAAAAATTAATGGATACAACCCTTACTCAATTTATTGAAAAACTCAGGCAACAATTAATTAAAATTCAAGAAGCCGTAACTGCTGGAAAAGTTACAACAACTGAAGTAGAAAACTTACGAATAACATACCCACCAAGAGTAATTAATAATCAACCAGAAGAACACCCTGCAATTGAAAACATAATTACTTCAAGAAGGAATACAACAATTGAAGCACTCAAGAATATTCAAAGGAATATTGAATTCTTATATTTATTCGAATCAATATCTTTAAATCTATGAGCAATTCAAAGAACATCTTTGAAAACAAAGATACACACTTTATTTCAAACTCTAGATCTTACAATAGATCATATGTTACCATTTGAATTAGAAATTGACAATTTACTACTAGAAATTGAAGGATTAAACGAAATCTTAGAAGGAATAGTACAACAAGAAAACTAAGAGACTTAGTTATGACCTCAAAAAATGGGGCTAATAACCAAAAATTATCATATTCAGAAGAAATTTATTATATTGAATACAAAATAATTATTTATTATCATAAGAAACCTATAACTGAAACTCTATCAGAAGAATATTACGCTGACGAATCAGATATATCAAGTGAAAACTCAAGAATCTGGGATACATATCCTGAACAAATAACTAGATCAGTATCAGAAAATCCTGAATTTTGGCCATTTAAATACTTTTGGAACCATTATCCGGAACCAAGGAATACCTATCTTAAAGAAATAAATCCACACCAAGAAATAATATTCCAAAGACCAGTAGAAGAAATTCGCTCAGATATTGTAGTAACACTTGCAAATTTGATAGCAAGGTGTAACCCTACAAATGATTTAAGATTAGGAACCATATTAAAAACTTTGCAATTAGCAATATCACTTACAGGATTTAACTCCTACCAACCCAGAACTACTACAGAAATACAAAAATACAAAACTACTCTAGCAGTAACAGCAAAACAATTTAAACAAATACGTGATATCAATTTAAGTCACGATATTCCAATACCTTTAAAATCAGTATTGTATAATATTATATTTATAGCAGAAGACATATTATACGAAGAAGGAGCCTCAATAGTCTTAGATGAGGAAGAAGAACTTAAATATCTCGAAGAAATATCAGAAAATAAAAGGACACCTTTGAAGCAAAGAAGAAAAAGCATTTGAAGATAACCTCACAAGAAAAGCTACAATTGAAATAAAAAGAAGAATACAAATTAAAGGATCTTATATTATGATAAATGGAAAGTAATCCCAACGATATTACTAGAACTGATAAAAAAAAAAGATATAAACTTGTACTCTTGTTTCGATCCTTCAAAACAATATATTCAAAAAGAAACGGAAATAATTCTAACGTTAATTTTACAAAAGTACAAGCATTAAGACAGAAAGCTAAACGTTATACGTGGAAAGATAGCAAAACACCACCTAAAGAAAAAGCTATTCAACTAATACAAGAATATTACCAAGAAGTATTTGTACCCTGGACAAGAGGATCTGCCTCAAGCCTTTACCAACTGATTCTTGAAGACTTAGTAGAAGAAAAAGAAACATTAGCCAAGGAATTGAAACAATCACAATACCTACAAGAGTATAAATATACAATTCCTGAAGTGTGGCAAGAAAGAATTACAAGATTTGAACAGATCAGTAAAAGAAACGCAGAAAAATATAAAATACGAATAGAAGCAATAGAGGAATTAATATTAATAGACCCAGAAAAGAGTGAACCAACAACGGAAATATAATTTCAAATTCCAAAACCCAATAATAACAGAAATCCTTAATAGATATTACCAAGGAATTTACGAACCCTAAGAATTAATGGAACTAAGTAATCAAAATAACTACAAAGATATAATAGAATATTTAACAGAAAAATATATCTATTTGAAGAAACGATTACCTTTAAAAGAAAAACTTCGATATTCTGAAGGACCCCACTACAAATACGTTTTAACACTTGACGAACTAAAACTGGGATTTAAACACTTGAATACTATCTCAGAAAAATACGAATTACCAAAGATACAAAAAGAATTTGAAATCATAGAAAAACAATCATTAACAATTGAAAACGCCTACAAGGATAAGAAATACAAGAATTGGATTACTCTAAATAACCTTATCCATCACTATTATTTAAAATTCGAAGAAAATGAAGTAGAAGATACTAAAAGTGAAAGAAAATATTATCAAACAAAATATTTGGATTCAATAAAAGCATTGATTAAAAAAAACTATACCAGAAAGCTTATTTAACTATTGTGGATATGAAATCCCTAAACCAACTGTTGAACAGTTACTTACAGGACAATTCCGATACCATTAATGCAGCAAGAATCTGAAATAGAAGAATTATTACACTACTATATAAATCTTTATCGATACCTTAATCAAACAGAAAATTATCAAAAAGAAGAAACAGAAATAGTTCAACAAATATATTTAGAACAATATTATAGTGAACTAAAGAAGGTAATACAACAAGTAGAATATCAGATAATGAACCTTTTGAAGGAAGAAAAAGTGGAACAAATATTAATACCAAAACCAACTTCAGATCTACAGCTAAATACTGATACTACAATATCACTAACAGAAATTGATGAAGAAACTACTAGAGTATATTCTAGAGAACCAGTAAATATATACTATTACGTAAAAAGCTTTAAACAACATTCACCCCTGAAGCATTTAGAGTGGCATGTAGAAAAACTATTTAAATCTATACACATCAAACCAGAAACTACAGTAATATCTATAATTAAATCACAGATAACTGTAAAAATACGATTATTCAAAGAATCAATATTTCAACACGGAAAAGTAATAATACGCATTATTGCTACATCATTTGGATACTTTGAAAAAGCATCAGAAATCACAAGAGACAAAATATTCATATCATATGATAAGGAAATCCATCCTTATTCCTTATTAAGAGAAGAAATTACAGATATTGAACATTTTGTAATAAACCTTACAACAAAAGAATCACAACAAATTCTTGTTCATCAAGGAACATTTATTGAAAACAAAAAATTAACAAATATCACAAAATCCAAAGAATCAGAAAACTCTACAGCAACTGTAAAAGAAAAAGACTATTACATTCTAATATTCTTTGACAACTTTGACTATTCAAACGATAAAGCAGAAATAAAGATCTGGCACGAATTTTCATACGTTCAAGGAAATAATAAAGTACACTACGAATGAACCAAGAGATATCAACGAGCCAATATTGTACAAGTTGTAAAACTATATTAGAATACCCAGAATCATTTAAAGAATCATCAGGAAAAATATATAAAACCTGCAATAATTGTAGATTAAAAAAGAAAGAACGAAAAACATATTCTAAAAGAAACCCTGAAGAAAGACTGAAAAGAATTCAAAACTTACCAAAAAAGCAATGCTGCTCAAGGTGCAAAAGGACACAAAAACAAGAAGAATTTGGATACACTTCTATAGGAAAGGCATTCAAAACTTGTAAAAGTTGTAGACAACGAGCAGAGAATAAAGAATATAATTCAACACAATATCGAATAGAATTACAAGCACGAAAGATCATTTTCTAATGTTTCAATATCTGAATATAGATATTTTACATTAGGTATCGATGAATGATATTCTTGGTATTCTTGGTAATATGCTTCTATTTCTGCGAATATTAATTCTATATTTTGTTGAAACATAGGTATCAATGGTAGTTGTATAGTTTCTTCATATGTATACCATTGCCATGGTTCTGCTTTATCTGGTTCTGTTCGTTCTGGTATCATATATTCGTCTGCAGGATATATGAATACTGTTCTTTCGATTCTGTATTTTGCTTCTAAGGTAGGACAATTTCTTTGTGAAGTCCATTCCATGGTGCTTAATGCTGTTTCTGACCAAATGTTTATTAGTTTGGTATCATTTAATACAATATTAGCTTCTTCAAAGGTTTCTCGGAGTATGGTTGCTTTTGCAGCTTCGCATGTCTTTCCGTTTCCATCTAGGTTTCCTTTTCCTCCCATTCCTTGGTTATGAAGGTAATATGGTTTTTGAGGGTTATTTCATAAGGATAAACATATTTTTGTTTTCCCATCTTCTTTCTTGAATAATGCTAATTGTACTATTCTTCATAGTAGTAGATTTATATTTTGTATTAGTGAATCCATTACTAACTGAAGATTTCTACATTTTCTACAGTTATCAAAATATTCGGTTCTATTATCGTCATATGTTTCTTTATAATCATGGAAGGTTGTATATTCTTTACAATTTTTGCATTTCCACATCCATTCTGATATACTCGGAATTGATGTTGATTCCAT